CCCGCCACCTTAGGTGTACGTGGCTGGCGCCTTAGCGGGTTGAGCTATAGGCGCCGAGCCCAGCCAATTTTCTGTAAGAATTTATCCTAAGAATGTGGACCAAAGATTAAACTATAATAATGTTCATTATAAACCTGTGTATAACAAATAGCCTAAATGACTCACACTGTTGAATTAAATAAATCACTGAACATATATAGACTATGTACTTATTACATGTACTTTAAATATATAGAAAGACGAAACAAGGAAAAGGAGATGGGCAGAAGAAGCATATAAATATTATGCTTAAAGTCCTAGCATGATGGTGACAAGAGTGTGCCATCTTGTCCATGGTAGCAGAATCACGTGTATGCTTATTTGAACAGGATATTTCCTTGTCTCCTCAGGAAGATCAATGACAGCTATCTTGCTTTCTCTGCCATTCAGATATATACATTTTATTAAGTGTCTTTCAAGTGTTTTATTAATAAGTATAAGTAGAAAAGTTTCAAAACAGAATTAACAAGGCTCGGTGCCTGTAGGTCAGCGGCTAGGGCACTAGCCACATACACTGGAACTGGCAGGCTCGAATCCAACTCAGGCCTGCCAAACAACAATGACAACTACAACCAAAAAAAGCCAGGCACTGTGGTAGGCACCTGTAGTCCCAGCAACTCGGAAGGCTGAGGTAAGAGAATCACTTAAACCCAAGAGTTTGAGGTTGCTGTGAGCTGTGACGCTACAGCACTCTATCCAGGGTGACAGCTTGAGACTCTGTCTCAAGAAAAAAATAAACAAAAACCCCCCCAGAATTAGCAGGGGATAAATTAATGGCTTATATACTATATCTGCCTCATCCTTATCTCAAAGGTGTTTTATATATAGCGTGTTAAATTAGATGACTTACCACAATCTATCATTTCAAAATCACCATTTATCTTTTTATTGTATGCCACAACTTCTCTTGGAATACTTTTCAACAGAACACTTCTGTATACCTACAGGCAAGAAGGGGAAAAAAGGACAGTTGAGTCACAAAGAAGCACAAGTTAAAGCAAGATCAAAATGTAAAGGAAGAAAATATCAAGCCAATTAAAAAATGTTTACCTGTATAAAGTAGTAATCAAGGGTAAGATATTATTAGCTCTGGTAACTGTAGACTATGGCAAACATCCTAAAAGAGGGGATACTGAGGCAGAGCCTACCATCTTAAATGTGACATCTTAGTTTACAAAACAGAAGACGAACTAAGTAGCAACTAAAGACTGATCATCGGCTCGGCGCCTATAGCTCAACTGGCTAAGGCACCAGCCACGTACACCTAAGGTGGCGGGTTCAAATCCCCAGCCCGGACCCGCCAAACAACAATGACGGCTGCAACCAAAAAAAAATAGCCGGGTGTTGTGGCGGGCGCCTGTGGTCCCAGCTACTTGGGAGGCGGAGGCAGGAGACTCGCTTGAGTCCAGGAGTTGGAGGTTGCTGTGAGCTGTAATGCCACGGCACTCTGCCCAGGGGGACAGCTTGAGGCTCTGTCTCAAAAAAAAAAAAAAAAAAAGACTGATCACCAAGTTTTGCCAAATAAAGATCTGAATTTGTTCTTCCTTCCTTTAAATTGGTTAACACAACAATCATTTGATTTCAATGGTTCTTATGTTCCTGTCCCCAGCCCATTCCCACTCCTTTTAGATGGCCACATAATCTTCAAGGACATTCTACACCTCTATAGGTTTTGTTCCTGATGAATTTTTCTGAAGAGGCCCAGAAACTCTTAAGCTTAGCTTGTCACAGGATATAACAAATGCCTGTACTTCATACTATATTGCTCAATATCAGTGTATTTTGGGGTTTAAGAAGCGAAATCATTTGTGGCGCTCTCTCTCTTTTTCTATGATCTCCAGGGCCAGAGAAGAGGCCATTATGTTCCCTGTGAGCCGAAAAGCTAGGTTCTTTAATAGTCAAACCCTTAGGGCAACCTACTTGTGTTCTTCAGCTATAATAATAACATGAAGTTAACATTAAATGCTGACTATGTGCTAGGCCATTAGGCTAACATTTTTCATTTCTTTGTTTTTGTTTTTGAGATAGTCTCTCTATCTTGCCCTCAGTAGAGTGCTGTGCTGTCACAGCTCACAGCAACCTCAAACTCTTAGGCTTATGCAAGTCTCTTGCCTCAGCCTCTCAAGTAGCTGGGACTGCAGGCACCTGCCACAATGCTGGCCATTTTGTTGTTGTTGTTGTTGTTGTCGTCGTCGTTGTTTGGCAGACTTGGGCTGGGTTCAAACCTGCTGGCCCCAGTATATGTGGCAGGTGCTGAGCCAACATTTTTCATTTCTATGACTGAAGGCTTTTACGGGACTTTCACCACAGCTGGTAGAATAAAATATCAGAAATGCTTCATATCATCTATCCAAAGATGCAACTGTTCTTATCAGATGAGAACAAGAGAAGCTGGAGTTAATAAATTCTCAGTATTTACTAGATTTAAATCTTATCAGAGAATCAAGACTCATATAATTAAAGACTATTATTATTATTTTGAGATAGAGCCTCAAGCTATCACCCTGGGTAGAGTGCCGTGGCATCACAGCTCACAGCACCCGCCAC